TTGGTAACAATTCAGCCTACTGAATTTTACTCTTGTCCTGCCTAAGTCTTTCTAAGTAACAGGCTAGACTGACTATCACACACTCAGATGCTGCATTACTGGCTCAGGTTTCCCATTCTTAATTCCACTTCCTCATCTTCTTGCCTTTTGCATAATGTTAATTCTGTTTCCCCATTTGAAACCTATATCCTTAGGCTGGTCAGTTTAAAAAGCCTATCCTAGTTCTAGTCTCATTACGCAGTTTCCCCTTCATCTTTTTAAGTGTGTATTCAAATATCTCTTCAACAATAAAGCACACACAGACCAGCACCAGTCCAGCAGGAAGGAGAGATTCCTACAAATCAGCAGTTTCCAATATGTTCCTAAGTATCCCAAAATGGTTTCAGCTTTTCTGGAGCAAGAACATATTGTAAACTTAAGTTTAATTTCTCTTAAAATGTTTTCAATTAGGCCTTTTTCACCCCATTTTTAAAGCACATTCCTTTCCTCTATTCACCCAAATGCATTCATTTGTATTACTCAGGGATGAAATTAACTCTGTTATCTGTGGGAGTTTATCATCCCAATGTACCTTTGTAGTCTTTTTCTTTCCTGCCTATGCTTCCTCCCCATATAGCATCACAGGCAAATTCATTAACAGGCTGTTTTCTCCTTCTTCAGGATCATTAAATGAAGATGCTAAGTGAGACCTGACCTAACAGACAGCTGCAATAAGCAGTTTCTTGTAAATAGATTCTTTGTCATTTATCAAAGACTTGTACCCATTTTCAGTTGCTTACACTGAGGCAATTTCTATAAGTTTAACTTAGACTTGGTCGCAGGTCTTTGTTTGTTTGTTTGACTTTTCGAAGCAGCCCATAACATGAACCCAAGAGCTCTTCAAATCATTAAAGAGGTCTCTGCAGACTGTGCCAAGTCAGTGAGGGAGAGTAAATTCATCTAGGGAGTCAGAAAGCGTACAAAACAATGCTGGTAAGATCCTCAGTCCTTTCCATAGCTGGAAAAGGTGGCATGTAGTGTATCATCTTCCACACTTGGGTCCTAGGTTGTGAGAGGACACAAAGCAAATGGAGAGAGTCCAAAACAGGATAAGCAGATGTCCAAGAAACATAACATCTGAGGAATAACTTGAAAGAATTTAATTTAGAGAGTAAAACCTGAAGCCAAGGAACATCTCTCAGGAGTGACACAGGTATAATTAAACTTGCCTTCAGACAAGAGGCTGACCTAGATGACCTTTAGAGCTCCTTCCCATTCTTATTTTCTGGGATGCTTCAATTGCATCCGTAGCTGCCACTACTGCAAGGAGTAGGACAGCCCTAAACCTCAAGCTATGGCCACAAACACATAATTTGTGCTCATTCCCCAACAGCACTGAACTCTCTGGCCAGCTCTACACACCTCATTTCAGAGCAGGGGGTTCAGCAAACACCATGATAACAATGAGTGCTGAGCATTTCTCAGCTGCATCTTAGGATACCCAGGCCAAAGTATCACCATCGTCTTCCTTCCCAAGCAAGACTCTGCATCATTGTGCACTCATCTTTCCTTAGTTGCCACGCAGGATACCTACAAAAGCTCCTACAAAAGCTCCCCAGCCACATTCAGCATGCTGATGAAGGAATAGCTACCATTCACAGTTACTTCATGTAGCCCTAATTCCAAAACAGCTGCTTTTTATGTTCACTCGCTTTTGTGAATTTGTACAGTCTATTTACAGATGTAAGTAACTGCAATATGCCTGACATGGTTTCCTTCAGAACAATGCCCGCAGATCTCCGATTAAATCGGCTATTTAATTAATTTCCACTCAAAGGGCACATCTCTCTCTGCTTTCCTCTTAGCAGTGCCCCCATTCTGGTTTGTGTTCTCCTGGATGCACTTGCCACTTCCCTCTCTCAGAATACTAATTGCTCTTTCTTCCTTTGCTTTTTTTTCCTTCCTCTATTTTATTGTTTTTTTATTTTCCAGAGGTAGAGCCTCATCTGTGTGGGCTGCAAGCAGCTATATAAAATATCTTATATTTAGGAACCCTTGTCAGCACAGGCCTATTAGGGGATTTGGTTTAATCAGAGAGTTTAGCAGACGTTATGCAGCTGTCCTGTTTGATCAAGAGAAGAAACACCGGTGTCTGCATCAGAAGTCTGCTCAGAAGCAAGCCCTGTAATCTAGCCCAAGTAGAAGATGCACCTCTGGGTGAAGCAAGCACACAAATCTGTTCTTTGATCACAGAGATTCATAATAATCCCTTCCCCACCTTTCCCTCTGCTCATTTACCAATCAAACCCGCACTCCTCCTGCCCTCCCACTCCCCGTATCAGCCCTTTGCCTCCCTTCTCCTGATGTGTCTCTCTGCAGAGCTTTGTTCCCCAGATATCCCCTGCCTGGGGACATCATCCTGTGGTGCCAGCAGCCTCCAAGGAGAAGGGAGGCTCTTGTAGATTCCTCCTTGCTCGGCTCCTGCCTATCCAGTCAGTCTGTGGCTTCATCCCCCCTGGGCATGGAGGAAGGCAGAGGGACACGGGGAAGGCACCAGGGGACGTGAGCTCCCTGCGCACTGCACAACTACAGCGCCCCACAGCCTGGTAATGACCGCGACAGCTCTCCTCCACCACCAAACAACAGAGAAGATGAGTATACACTCATATACTATCACCTTCTTTTCCACCTTTGGCCAGACATCGTGGTCTCTGAGGTCCAAGGTGCCTCAGTAAAGGAGCCTGAAGTAACAGCCAGCACCTGGGGGCAATGACACACACAGGAAAACCCTAGCAAGGAATGGTTGCAGCCACTACCCACGTCTGCAAGAATATTTCATGTCAGTTCATAGCAGTTGACTGACTTCTATTATAAACTGCTTATAGTCCATACTGTACGGACTAAGCTACTCAGTGTGCCTGTTGCATATATTTCTAATGCATCTGTAACTGCAAACCTGGCTATCCTTCATACCAGGTAGTTCTTTATTGAATCACTAATAGCCTGGCACATCTGAGCAGGTATCTGAGCGGGCAGGCAGCAGAAACAAGCAATGTGTTAGAGAACAGCTTTTCCAGAACCCTCATTCAGCACCTAGAAACCTACCTAATAGATTTCATTTTCCTCCAGCAGAAATACTGCATTTTGTAAGTCTCTTGCAAGTTAAAGGAAATACAACAAATAAAACAACCAACCCAAACCCTGAATATAGTTGGACAATATCCTTGATTAAATCAATTTGCACAGCCTGTCAGAAATGAGGAATAGTATTGTAATGGATTATTTTACTATAAGCTTTTGATGTTTTATGTAAATGCTTTTTTTCCCCTTCAAGTGAGATATTTAATGACAACTGTTGAAAAAAATCTATAAAATGCAGTACTTATGATCTCCATGTGCTGCCTCGCAGTTCTGAGCGAAATTGCATACAGGGGATAAATATACATTCAGCAGCAGGAAAACTCCTAACAGAAGAAACATTACTGAAGTATTTATATTCTAACACTTTAACACTACAAATCCCAGGAGAAATCCTGTTATAACAGGCAAAATATATACATAATATCCAAAACAAAAAGACATAACTAAAACCAAAAGAAAATTACATAAAGTGAGAAGGATTAAAAAAAAAGTGGCATATCCATAACATGTCCCTCATGTCAAACAGAGGACTACTCACAGAAGCATTCGACACTGTATATCCATATATATCACATGGAAAATATGATTACCACTCAGCAATCTAACCGCTTTATGTCTTCCCAGCATCTTTGCCTTCAGCCATCTAAGAGCATCAGGGTTTTGCTCAAGGCTTTTAAAAACAGAACTAATTCCAGCAATGCCAACGGGGTAGGAGAGTACCCAGAGGTTTCTACTTTATCAGGAGAACCCAGCCTGGCCAAGATGCTGCTGGGAAAAGCCTCCGTCTGAACCGAACTGAGCAGCACACGAAGCCCTGCCAGGTTGCTGATAACCCCAGCCTGGTCCCAGAGCCCTGTCTCTCCAGAGAGCCTGCATAGAACAAGAGTCAGCCACATGCTGCATTTTCTCTTCTCCAAGGCAGCCTAAATGAAGACTCAAAGCAAAAATCCAGCCAACAAGGTCTCAAGTACTAAGGAGAGAGGGCCTTTAAGCACCCAGGGACCTGCTATTTAATACCTAAGACAAATATAATACTTGCTTTCTTTATAATCTCAACCTGAGTGTTCTTTATTTAAAATCTCATCAGCATAATGATCTCTATTTCAAAGAGAGAAAATAAGTGCCCAGCGATGACTTACGGTCACTAGAAGCCATTATGTTTGCTTAGTTGCAACTATCGTTGTCATCATATAAATTGTATAGACAGATTAAGTTATTCACATTACTAAGATCTGACAGCTAATAACACAATTACTGCTCCCCAGCTCCTAATGATTCCTCTGTTGTAGATTCTAAGAAAGTACTTGTCTTATTAGGTGATAAGAGCAGCTTTTTGAGTTTGGTTTCTATATAAGAACTAAATACTTGAACGGAGAAAAGAAAAGTGTTATTTATAATCTTAAATATCACACCGTTCTCCAAAGTGACAAGATCAATATTGCAACTTGGCACTTGCTACCATGACAGATGGTGCTATTAAAAATACCGAACATATCTCCTCTGCAAGAGGAAAAAAAAAATGCATGCAAGGACATTATATGTTGTCCTTCTTGAATTTGCATTTTTCATTACAAAAAAAAAAAAAAAAAAAAAAAGGCAAAAACACAAAAGATGCTTAAATCCTCTTCAAAAGTACCATACACCACTAAACAGGGATTTTTTTTTTTTTTTTCCCTCTCCTCCCCCCCCCACTCCAAAACTGGGGATGTAGGGACTTTAGATTACTTGCAAAAATCCTAAGAGAAGATCAGAAGAGAATTTTCATTATATTCCAAATTCCATTTTGCGTGAATTTCACTAGGACTCCATCATTCTTAAGACAAAATCCATATAAGAATCATATAAGATCCATATAAAACAAGGTTGGGAAGATTACTGACCTCTGTGTGAAGATCTGTTCTCTCTCCTGGGGACCTTTTGCAAAGCACACCTCAAGAAGCTCTGGTAGGAGCAAGTTGTTCCCTCATTCCCCAGTTATTTCAGAGGCACATCAGTCCAGATACTTACTATAGGTCAGCACTCACAGAACCCCTTTTGCTACTAGCAGCTGAACATGATTAGACAGAAAAGCACCTGCAAGTACTTTGGCACCTGAGATTACTCAGGGATATCAAGGCCCCCATTTTTGTTTCTACCTATAAACTTTGCAATTTGTTTTAATTACTTCCCCCTGCCCTCACTTAAAACACCAGGGTTCAGCTCTATGTTATGAGGCCTTGGGAGTTGCAATAGTTAGCCTTGTTCTATTTATTTAGTTATCTCTTTATTTATGTACTAGTGCTTGGAAGAACAGGACCAAGAAGCACAGCATGAGGAATTGGGAAATTTTTGTATTAATTGGGACTTTGCAGATTTCCTGTGCAAATCTAGACACTGACACTTCATTTCTAATACCCTTTTAAAAAGGGAAACTTCTCTGAAGCAAGTTCTGTTCATTATGTTCTCTTCAGTTCCAAGCAATTCTGGTGATTCATTTTTTTTTTTTTTTTTTTTTTTTTTTTTAAATGAAAAAGCCATTTCTGGTGAGATAAAAACAGAAATGTTCTTATTGAATTCTTCTTTTCCCACAGGAATGATCTAAATGGTAAGTCTTTGAAACAAGGCAGGATAAACTCAATGCAGTGCTTCCTAACATTTGCATTAATAAAGTATAATAAAAGTGTTTTTTCTCCCTAGTTTTTGATTCTTAGATAGAACAGCCCTTACTTTGCAACCTGACCTTCTCCGCCCACTTTCTGATACTATTATTTCAGCAGCTGAACCTCAAATGTTAATACATTAATGCAAAACCTGAGAGATTTTTTTCCTGCAGCTGGATTTGCCCCACTCCTGAATAACATGGACTAACCCCCCAACCCTAACCCCTTCCTCCACCCATTACGTCTTTTGTCAGTCTATGATATTCACTTTTCTAATCCCAAGTCAAGACCTAACAGCATGCCAGCCTGACTGAAGGGCAATGGTTCTACTAATTTAGTTACGACAGGTAGCAGTGTTTTACCTGCATAAGCATTCTGTGATAGCAGATGTAGCTATATTAACATAAGACATCTCATAAATGCATTGCTTTGTAGAACAGCTTATTCTTGTTGAAGAACAGCTATAATATTGTAAGATGCCTTTATATTGAGATTATTGCTTCCACTCTACGAGCGCTATGTTAACTGCACTCCTTATGGTTAAGTGAAATACTGTGTGTACAGAAGGCCATGGTCCTAAAGCAGATTTTTTGTTTTCTTGCACAAGCCGTACAAGAAAACCTCCCATTTCAGCTGCCTTTGTGTGGTAGAAAGATCAGTATCCTTACCAGTCTTCTAAGAAAAATAATATAACTTTATAAAATTTCTACCCCCAAGAATATACTCGTAGGTGCCATGAATTGAATCTATTATAGAATAGGTGACAATTACTGTAGATTCCTATTCACAGTAAGTCTACTCATTTAGATGCCTGCTGTTTTCTTTAAAAAGAGAGTGTTATATGGACTCCTCTGCACCTTCAGTTATACTAGGCAGGTTTTGTTAATGATACAGAAGTTTAGTGAGAGCTGAGTAAGGTGGTTTTCTTGGTTTCTTCACAGAAGGAACTAGATGGAGAAGTTGCTTTTCTAGGGCTTGAAAACTGGACAGTGAATGTTGTCAATAGCTGCTGATCTATTCATGTAATTCAGGAAATGTAGTCTCTGGATTGATAAAGGAGAGGTAAATCCTAAAAAATGTAGATTATTTTGGAAAATGTAGTCTAAAGGTCACCTTTAATATGCCAGCAATAGTCGAATCCCACAATAATGAAACATAAAGTTCAATATAAAGCATGTAGTCATTAAATGGGATATAAAAGAACGTTGTAGAAGGCCAAATTGGAGCTGCTGAATATATCATGTCAGAATCAGGAACTCAATCCAAAAAGTGGGTTAGAAAATGAAAGAACAGTGAACTTCTCCAGACAGCTCAGGACAGACAGAGCTGCCAGTCAATGAGAACTAGTTCAGGGCACTGCAAAGCAGTAATGTCTGGCTCTGTTTTATTGTGCCCTTCAGCTGATGCTTGAATCATGACATTCACCTGCTTTATAATCAAACAGTGAAGCTCTATATTCCTATCGCTACAATGGCAGGTTTAGCTGCCAATTTTTTCATTTTACAGATTTTACAGAGGTTTTGAACAGACATAGCTCAGTAAACACAATATAATTGCATTGTCTCCATGTGCTGAGGACATGACAAGGTGGAAAAATGATGGTTAAATCAAACAGTCACCAGGAAACGTTTGAGGATGGAGCCTATTAAGAAGGCTCGCTTTACACAAAAATTATGCAGACTGTTGGCAATAAAAATTAATAATATTTAAGGGTCTGTCAGAACAAAGTTGGGAAGAAGAGAAAGGAAGTGAAACGATGTTTTGGAAGAAGTGGGTCAGATGAATAGACCTGAAAGGAGAAGAGCTAGGTATTTATAGGGATCAGATAATAGTATGTTGGATGTTGTCAAGTAGATCTAAGGAAGAATAGTCTAACAGAAATAAATCCAAGATACCCGAAAAGAAGATTTAAGATAATTAGCCACAGTGTTGCTATATACAATGCATGTATTAGACATCATTCTTGATGTTTAAATCTTGGAAGAAATTAGGATCTTTGTATTAGAAATGCAGTCAAGGAAAAATGAGGAAAGACTTGCATAAATTCCAGTATTATACAAGCATTGCCTCTGTAATTAGTAGTGACTGAGTCAGCCAGTCAAAGCAGCCACACTTAAAAGAGATTAATCTTAAAGTTAGATTCTGCTAGGAGCAGCAGGAGAAGAGGCAGCAGAAATAGTGCTCTTGATACTTAGGTCCAAGGACACGGATGAAAAAGAGACAACTGGCGGTCAAAAATTGCTGGCCTCCACCCTATCACCAGCAGAGAGAAAACCCTGCAGAAGAGGCATAAATTCCTCTGATCATGCAGTAGTTTAAAGGCACAAACTTCAGGGGATGGACTATTTCTTATTATGCACAATGTCTACTTTTATTTACTAACTTGCAAACCTCTAGGGATGCTAACAAGGTGTTCTTTATCTACTGCTGTGATGATTTAGGAGACTTTTCGCTGTTCTCTAAAACTTCCCTTTCAAGAAGTTTCTAAATAATTTACCAAGACTTCCTTTCTATTTAAGATCCCTTTCTTTTTCCCCCAGATATCCCAGGAAATAAATAAATAATAATAATTTAAAAAATCTGCATGCAGTTTAAATATACAGAGCTTGTAAGACTCAAAAGAAGTCCAGAGTCAAGCAAGCAAAACTAAAAGACAGCTCTTCTCTTTCCCCTACATGTAATTATCCAGCAGGATGCATGAGATTAGGCAAGTAAAGTAAGGCTAGTAATAAGGTCACTCACATATAGGCCTGTTCTTACTTTCCCGGTCTACTGCGAACCTGTGACGAAAGAGGGGCTGATTGAAAGGTGAAGATGAATTAACCAAAACTAGGAGGCTGAGTAATAACTCAGCTCCCAGGCCATCAGCTGCAGGAGGCCCAAAAGGAAGTTAGTTAGCAGCACCACTATGGTGTAAAAGGTGCAATCAAAGAGACTGAGAAGCTAAATGATTCAGTCAAGGAGCTGAGAAACTAAGTGGATTTCTTTTCATCTCTCTTTTACTTCAGAAGGTGAAGGGGAAATATCCATCCCAAGGTGACACTTTACAGGTAATGAAGCTGAGGCAATTGCGAAGGCAGATGTATTGAGAAAAAAAGGTGAAAGAACAGTTCAATAAATTAAAATGCAATAAATCACTGAGAGTGGTTGGTATCATTCCAGGAGCAGAGGAGAAATGAAGTAGGTGAACGACCAAAATAAATATATATTTTAGTTTTAAGCCATTTGAATCCTCACATCGAAGTGGTAGAGGATGGTCAAAGCCATGCCCATCTATTAAAAAGGAACCTGAAAGGTAGCACAGGGCTAGGTGTTACGTGCTGGCAGCTCTTGCTTCAGGAAGAGGGGAAGGTGGAGGGGACAAAGAAAGGAGGGGGAAAAGCAATTCAGTGCTTGTCATAAAGAACAGGCAGATACAGCCAAACCCACAAACCACCACTACAGTATTTGCCAGAACAAGTGAGCCAAAATAAGATGAGAAGGGGAAGTTGGGATCAAGACACTAACAGGATGTAATTCTCAGAACGGATATAAAAAAGACCTGAAGAAGAAAAATGACATTTCCAATAAGGCCTTCCAGGCGCCCTGTACTCCAGATATTTGGGTAATAACCCAGAAGAGGAGGGGAACCAACTTCTGTCACAGTTTTGGAAAGAAAGCATAACATTACATGTGGATTTATTCTTGGCATATAGGTGAATGACAACAAAGAGTCCTAAAAATGGAGGGATGCTTCACCTCCTGGAGGTGGGATTCATCTGCCTAAAGGAACATTTGAGCTAGTCATCCAGGGCTCCCTGGATGATCAATGGCTTTCTTGTCAACAGCTATCTATCAATATAGTCAACCCAAAGATTAGAGGAACTGAGGAACCTAAATTAGATCAGAAAATAACATCCTTAAAGTGCCAATTTCTTTTCTATGACTATAGAGAGAACCTAGAGTGACTAGGTCACATATATATGCACAGAAATGAGTTTTGTTCACATTTGTATTTTGGAGACTGAAATCCCAATAGACTGACATCAGTGCTTTTAAGTTCATTTTTCTTTTCACTGCAACCTCTATAGAGCATGCAGATATTACAGCACAGGTTAACAACAAACCAGGACATAGCTTGCTGCATGTTAGGAGCTCTGTAGAACAAAAGGATGTCAAGTGATGAATATGAACCAATTGTTTTAAAGGCACCCTATTCTAAGTCAGAAACAAATCTTCCAGAGCTCCTCAATGCAGAATATCCTGCTAATTGCAGAGATTTACTCCCCTCTTCTCTTTGTGCATGAGCAGCAAGATGTGCAGTAGATTTTGCAAGGAAGAAAGACTGAAAATGCCAGACGACTCTTTTCCTAGAGAGCTGTTACGCACTCAGCCACAGATGAAGCTCCAGGGTGTAACTCAGAACCTTCTAACCTACTTTTCTCTCCAGTC